CCAGGCGGCGAAGTCGTTCCAATGGCGAACGGGGCTGGCCTCAGACGCGCTCCCTCCGCGAGCGTTCTCCCTCCTGGCCGATTAGGCCCCCGCCGTGATGGCGCGCTTGCTCTGGGCGGCAGAGAGCTGGGGCCGATGGTCTACCGCCATCATGATGAATCACGTGCTGTGGCTCGCCAAGCCGACCGGAGGCTTCCGGCCCACCGCGCTGCCCCCCTCGATCTACAGGATCTACACCAGGGGCAGAATCGTGCACGTCAGGAGGTGGGCGGCCGCGAGCACCAGGCCCTACTTCGCCCTGGGCGCAGGGCGCTCCACCATCCACGTCGGCGCCCGCACCGTGGTCTACGCGGAGGCCGCCGACCAGGGAGACGACGACGCCATCATCACTGCCATGGTCGACATCAGCAAGTGCATCGACAGGGTCGACTGGCGCAGGGCCATCGGAGCCGCCAGGCACTGTGACTTCCCGCTTGCTATCTTGCGGGCCGCCTTGACGATGCACGCTGCGCCCAGGCGGATTCGCTGGAGCACCACCTACTCCTACGCTGTCAAGGCTATGCAGTGCGCCCAACCAGGGTGCTCCGTGGCCATGTTCCTGTTTCAGCCGGTCATGATGCGGCCGCTCGACGTCTACAGCGCGCCCGTCAACGCTATCCCGCGCCGCCCGGACGTCTACGCCGGCGACGTCGCGCTGCAGATCATGATGAAGCGTTGCCTGATAGAGGTCGTCGCGGTCTCGGCCATATCGCGTCTCTCGGCGGTCCTCCAAGCTTCGCAGCTGCCCGTCGCCAAGGACAGAGCCGAGATCCTCGGCTCGACTGAAGCCCTCGCCAGGTCAGTCGCCGAGCGGTTGGCCCAGCGCGGCTTCCAGGCCGTCAACCAGTTGAGTATCTTGGGCTTGGAGTGCCACGCGGGGGGTTGCCTCAAGCACGCCGAGGACCACGAGCGCATCAGGAAGATCAAGGCGATCATCCCTCGCTTCAGGGGGCTGAAGGGCATGGCGGAGCTGGCTCGCAGGATCGCGCGCCCATGTCTTGCCCCTGGTATGACGCACGGGCTACACGTTGTCGGCGCGCCGCCTGCCATGGCCAACGCCAAGACGCGTCTCGTTCGCACTTGATGAAGCAAGACGCCTGCGGCTTCGTCGACGTGGCTCGCATCCTTGCTCGAGGATGCTCCCCGCCAGATGCCAGTCTTCATGGCGGTCGCCGGGTCCATATTCACGTGGGTCCAGCTCGTCTTCAACTCGAAGACTCCGCAGGGCGCACTCCATCAAGCATGGCGAGTCCAATCGACCACATTGGCGGCTTCAGCAACGACCCCATTGGCATTTCTTGCAGGACCTGCACGCGCAGTCATCCTCAACATTCGTCGGCTGGGTTGGCGGGCGCACTCGGCTGTGCACTGGGAGACAGGCAGTGGCGCACACCTGCATCTTCCAAATCTAGCCCCCACTGGTGTTCGTGTCATGGCAGGGCGCCGCTGCAGATCGGTCAAGTGGGAGGAGTGGGCCAATCGCAAGGATCATGCTCCAGAGCATCCCTCACCTCCGCGTGATCCGCGGGGCTACTGGGTCGAGCCGCCGGCTGCCCTGATGCACGCGTCGCCGGAGTCAACAACCTGGAATCTAGCTCCCAAAGCGCGTGGCGCTCTTCGTTTGACAGTTACTGGAGCTCAATGGGGTACACCTCCTCGTCTCAGTATCTTGTTTGTGGTTCGCGTGGCGATCTATTTCGCAGATTCTGGACTTGACCCAACTCTGATGACATGAGGAGGTGCGCTGTAGACCAGGAGCTGATTGACATGGCGACCAGCGCGGACCTGAACGACTTGTTCTTCACGCGTGGCTTGCTGCCGCGCGCCATGCTACCCGACATGCCACCACCGCTGGACACGCAGCGTTGGTGGCGCTGCATGGGGGGCCAGACTATAGACATCACGGGCGTGGTCTACACCGACGGCTCGGCTCAGAGCCCGCTTGACTGGCCTGAGGCCAACCGCGCCGGCTGGGGCATCGCAATCCTTCGCGGGCGCCAGCTCCGCGGGGTGGCGTTTGGACCCTCGCTGGGGCCCCAGCAGACTGCCCGGCGCGGGGAGATCCACGCCGTCTTACAGGCGATCAAGCATGCCCCCCCCCCTTCACATCAAGAGGGGCTGTCTGGGCTTGGTGGAGTCGCTCGCCTGGGGCAAGGAGGGAGCACCGCGCGCGCGCCAGGCGGGGCAACGCGGACCTCTGGCGACAGCTACGGCACGCCATCGAGGACATGGGTGGCCTCTCGGACCAGCTGCAGGTCACGCGGGTCGAGGGCCACCAGACGTGCATCGACGCTGGCGACAGCATTGACAAGATAGGCAACGACTTCGCCGACGTGGCAGCCAAGACGGGCAACGAGCTGCACGCCTTCCCGACGAGGCCCACGCGGAGCACCAAAGGCTGCCCAAGGCCGCG